TTGATGAATTCAAGTGTGGTACTTACTCGAAAGACAAATTGGAAGAAACTAAGGAGGAATGGTGTCAATACATTCTTGAGATGAGAATTGTATAAGGTATATATATTGTCTTTCTGTCTTTTTGATCGGAGCTTATAGAGATTTGTGTTGTTGTAATGTTATGTACAAACTACTGGATAATTATAGTTCGGGAAATCGTATATAGTTTTGAGGATCCAGAAATATGGAATTTGTAATTATATGTATAGTGAATGTATTTGTGAAGTTATCGGTTTTGGAATATATTTTAGAATTATATATAAGCAGGTATATGTATTGAATTACAATGATTATAAGCAGGTTTATGTGTTGAATTGTTATGGTATATATATAAGATCAAAGTGTTAAAATAAATGCATGTGGTGAATGTAATTGTTATAAGCAGGTTTATGGAAAAAATTATAAAGAATTGTGCAACAGAATTCAACAAAAATCACTTCATAAAAATATGCAAAATAGACAGCGCTTTTACCAAAAAAAAACGCTATGAAAAAGTGATTTTTGAAGAAAAAAAATTCAATGACGTGAAGAAAAGACAGCACTTTTCTTAAAAAAAGCGCTGCTATAGAGGGGAAAAGGGGGAGAAAAGAGAGCGCTTAAAAAAGCGCTGCTAAAGGTATTCAATAAATACACTTTAGGCAGCGCTTTTTAAAAGCGCTGCTAAAGGTGGGGGAATAGAGAGCGCTTTCTTAAAAAAGCGCTGCTAAAGATATTAAGGAAATATAATTTAGAAAGCGCTTCTAAAAGCGCTGTTAAAAGGGAGAAAAGAGAGCGTTTTTCTGGAAAAGCGCTGCTAAAAGTGGGCCTATAGCAGCGCTTTTTACTTAAAAAAAGCGATGTCTTTACCTTTAGCAGCGCCACTTTAGGCAACGCTGCTAAAGGTCTTTTCTTGCATAGTGACTTGACATTATTAATAATAAAAGTTAGAAAAGGAAAAAAAATGATCCTCGCGTGTTTACAATCAAATTTGTCTTTTTTATATAATGTAACATTCTTGTCCTTTTCCACTCAAATGCTTTTTTCTATTCTTTAAAGAAATCAATCCCCAATCACACAAGAAAACAAAATTTTCCTAATGGTGAAACAAGCACACAAGACTTAATGAAAGAAAATAATAATAATAATAATAATAATAATAATAATAATAATAATAATAATAATAATAATAACAATAATAATAATAATAATAATAATAATAATAAAGAAAACAAATAGAATAGCTAAAAAAGGTAAAATATGATAAAACGAAACAATCTAACTCACAGAAGTAAAAAAATATATAAAAAATTAAACAAATATCTCAAAGAGAAAAAAAATAATATAGTGTGGCAACAATTAAAAGATAAAATCACAACCATATTTTGTTTTAAATTAGGTTGGGCAGCACATAGCCCATACTTCACATTAATCAAAAACATTAATTGAAAATAACATAAACTTGAGTGTTAGGTCTAATTTAAACAAAGTTATGCCCACACTTTTATTACAACTTAATTTAAATAAAACAAATAAAAAAAGGCAACATCTTATGTGCCCACGTCCTCTCCATGTATATTTATGTAGCTGACAGGCTCCACGACTTCTAAGTTAGGCCTTCCTTCCATGATAGTGTTCACCATTTGATCCAAGACTTCTTTAGCTTTCCTAGCACGTGCCTTTGTCATTTGTCCTCTAGTCCTTAGAGTGCTTCACTTGTGTCCTTGCTAGACATGTCCTCGTTAATCTGAGTTGTACGATTTATGCAAGAGTGAATATTGGTATATTAACCATGACTTATTATCTACTTTGTTAGAGATATGACACATAGAGAAGTTATCATTTCATATTCTAGTTAGTGGGATGTTCATCACACTTGATTATGTTTCATGCCTCCTAAATCTTTCGATCTAAAGAAATTATTAAACTACTATATAACCAGCAAATATGAAACACTGGACATGATGGTGACTTATTTAGAAGCTGACCCGGAAAAAAGTCAATAAAGTTAGATGACACAAGAGGACGTCATGTTAGGTTTTCATTTTTGATGGATTTGTATGAGCACCATCAAGCTACAACTATGGATGTTAATGGTGATGATGCACTAGTTGCATACCAAACACCATGTGAATTGAGGTCGTACCTTTTGGTTTTGGTCGACGCGTCCATATTTGTGGACAAAAATGCCACCTATGTCGACGTTATCTGCCTCAGATATTTCATTGGCTTTGAGAGGAATCACGAGTACAACTAGGGGATTTCTTGTCTGGTGTACCTCTATGCCAAACTAGCTAAAGGTAGTATATAGAAGACTCGACAGTTGATGGGAAACAACTATCTTTTTATGCTAATTGTTTTTGCATTTTTACTAATATTAATTTCATATTAAGGTTGTTATATATGTACTAATATTTTATCTTAATCATTTACATGCATGGCCCATAAATATTGTCCATTTCTCGCTGAATAGGCATATGTGGAAGACTAGTTTAAGGCTTTACCATGTGTGTGCTCGATTATCCCACTCATAGAGAAGCAGGCGGCTGAGTCGTTTAAAGTTGTTCTTGACCACATCGTGTTGGGTGATATTTGCTTTACGTCGTACGGTGGGCACCGTAAGACACAAACCTTGGAGGTGATATCCTTGTACTCTATATTATTGCCTTGTGTGTCTCGACTTATGTATATTGATCTACCTAAGTGAATTATGTGACAATTTAGATATATCCAGGGCATACCCGGAGATCCCATTGTTGCTGCTTTTGCCACTTCCTCCGCGAGGATCCTACCACTGTTCTCCACAGAGATGTTGATGAAATTTTTGCAGTGTACCTTGATCACCTGTTTCTAAGGGTGTTTGCCGGTTGGGTTGGGTCTAATTTGATTAAATCCAATACCCGACCCGATCAATATTCTTTGGGTTGGGTTGAGTGTTCAACTCATACTTTTAAGACTAAATCCGAACCAAACTAACCCACTAATCAATGGGTTGGATTGGGTAGGGTTCGTGGGTCATCCAATAAATATAATTTTCAAATTCTAAATAAAGTATCAATTTAATTAACACATTTATATTACAAAAACATAAAAAAAAAATCTTAAACTTTTAGTATTCAATTTGAATAAAATTTATTCGTTAATACCTAAAAGCTCTTTTATGATTCATATAAAGTTATAAAAATATACAAATGATGTAAAGTATAATTTAAAAGGTAAGATATATCTCTCTTTGAATAAATAAAGTAAATCTCTCAAATTTGATTTAGACTTAGACTCTTACAATTAATAAAAACTATAATTACTATATGTGTGTGTGTGTGTGTGCGCACGCGCGCGCGTGCGTGTGTGTGTGTGTGCATTGTAAGAATTATGCTAGATAATTTATAAATAAAATAAAATAAAAATAGTGTGACATATCAATGGGTTGAGTTCACAGATTCATATATTTAAAACTTCAAACCTGTTCCCAAACCAAATACCAATGAATTTGAATGGGTTGGTTCGGGTTGGACCCGTACATGATTGAGTTGGGTAAACATAAGGGTTGATTGGGTTGGATGAATGGGTTTATGGGTTGGCCCGTATCCATGAACACCCCTGCTTCTAGAAGATGTACATTGTGTGTCAGCTCCTTGTCTATGGAATACGGTATATAACTACATCCAATGTTTTTATAGAGTGACACATTCATACATGACACCAGATGTAGAAGGGGATCCTTTGAGGTCAACTCATCAAGAGATCTTAGAGGAGGAGCAGACAAGGGTGGACCATGTCTTTTGATGTATTACTAATATGTATTACTGAATTTGAGGAAGACACTCCTCTGATGGCCACTTTACGGGTCATATTAGTAGAGGTACGACATGTGTCATCGTACTAGTGGCAAAAGAGAAAAGGGAGCGTCAGATACACACAATAGTAAAATTTTATTTTGTATATTTTGACATTTTTGTATTGTGGTATGTAATGGAATTGATTATGACATTTTGACATTCATATATATATATATATATATATATATATATATATATATATATATATATATATATATATATATATATATATATATATATATATATATATATATATATATATATATATATATATATATATATATATATATATATAGTAATTCTTTTATTTTGATCTTCTTATTTAATGACAAATGTGTACGGATTATTTGAGATTGATTAATAAATGACTTATAGTGTAAGTTAATTTGAGTATATTAAAAAATGTCAAATTTATTTTAACTTTATGTCAAAAGGTGTAAAATACTATCATGAAGTTAATTCAGAGATTAAAATCTGAACTTGTGATCCAGAGGTTTAAATCCATATCACTTTTTACAAATGTGTGATGCCTCGATTATTGAGTGATTTTGTTGTAAAATAAATGTGTGTGAATTTTAAAATTCAAAGTATATGAATGACATTTTAGAGTTTCCATAAAATGTGTGATGACTCCATAAAGTCTAGTGAACAACACTCATTATTCACTAGATCTTGACCATAAGATTGCATTTTGGGTGTCATACAAATCTTACGATGAATTTTGGGTGTCATACAAATCTTGACCATAAGATTGCATTTTGGGTGTCATACAAGTCTGACTCATACATGATGATTATAAATAAATGTTACACTTCCTCCGTCACAAAATAAATGTAGAGGTTGATCATTCCATACAAATTAAAAAAATGTGATAAATAAAATAGAGAATAATACTTTTACTAAATTATCGGTGTATTTGAATTATCATAAATATATAAAAAAAATTGAATAATAATTTGATAATTTTAATTAGATGATACAATTGAAATATAAAAATTAGAATTGCATTAAAAACTAAAAATAACACTTATTTTACAACAATTAATTTTATCACATATAACACTTATTTTACAACGACGGAGTAGTAAAATAAAATCAATATATCCTTCTAAATTGTAATCTCTTAAACATTTGAAATGTGAAATTCTAGAGCCGTGACTTAGAACCCTTTCTTCTAGGAATATCTAATGCATCATAATGACCAAACCCATGGTAGAGAACTCTAATTGGATTTTCCTTGCCGTATTCTTGACCATACTCAGCTATTGATATCAACCCACCAGCATCCTTATCATACATATATACAGTGATTGGCATCCTGCATAATAGGCCGCCTCATATCAAAATCCAAATGTCTACATAATAATAGGAATGTTCATGGAAAACCAAACTATTGAAAATGAGTGCAGTGCAGTGCAGTTTGAGTTCAATATGACTATGTGTTCTTAAATAGAGAAACAGTTCAGTTCAGTCTGGTTTGGTTTGGTTTGGTTCCTCGTCATATATATATAACAGCATAAAGCAAGGTAAATCTACTTGTCCGAGATAAGAAAAGTACTTACTGCAAAACATGTGAAGCAATGAACAATTCAGGTTCACCTCCCCACACATGAGGCTTCCTTATTTGTAAAATATATGAATCAAAATCACCTTCAATAAACCTGAAGATATCATGAGAAAACCATGATCATTATCAAACAATAATCATTCGTCCTTTTTGCTGTATATGTGTTATGACTTGTGAGTGGGGAAACTCACCATTCTGTTTCTGCCTTTCTTTTAACAAACTCATCAGCAACCTATCAAATAGTATAGAGAAAAATCAAGAACATAGACCTAGGCAATCAACATTGATATAAACGTCAAACTGTAGCTAATATTGTGCCTTCAATTCTCTGCTTTGAGCTTTTCTATTTAGTTTTCGTCATGCCTACCCAGGAAGGGGTTTCTACACTGAACGAGTGATTTATAAAAAATGTTTAAAACATACCTTGGCCCGTAAATCATCGGCTAGCTCTTTCTGATAGCTTTCATTCGGCGGGGGTTTTCCTGATCTCAAACAAGCCCCATGAGCAACTGACCGGAACATGCATCTTCCATCTCCCGGTATTCCTGCTCAGTATGGTAAATTTTATAAACAATGCAAATAGCAAATGTATATAAATGCTTAGATTCATTTTTATGTCAATTTGTAAACATGTACATAGACTATATATGTAGTGCGTCTTTGTTCTTGCGGTGTTATGAACATAGCCGTGTGGTGACTCCGAAGCTTGAATTTCTAATTTCCTAAAATCGCAGTCAAAACAACATTGGAAGTGATATTTACAAACTAGACGTAGAACCAAAAAAGTGGGTATGTATCAAAATACTATTAGCAGAATGTCCAGCTCACCAATTACAGAATAGTCAGTGTGAACTTTCTTCCCGTGTGCTAATTTAACATTTGACCCGTCGCAGTCATCTTTCCTATTCTGGTTTCCATAATCCGTCTCAGCATGTGCAGGCTCAGAACTTAAATTACACACAAATAATCCAAAAATAAAGCCAACTGATGCACAACCACGTGGCCAAGTTATTCGTCCGACATTGCACTTAACTTTGGAAAGCATTTTTCGTTTAGGAACCGACTTTCTCATACTCATACTTTGGCATGACAATGAAACATCACTATGTCTCTTCCCAGATACTACAGAACTAAAGACTTGAGTATTTCCCGTTTCCTTGGAGCAGCATGATCCAAGGTAACCTCCTCTGATTGTTTGGCCCATAATCGTTGAACAAGACGGTTTTCTGCAAATAGAAAGAGCAACATAATTTGTCTCCGACTTCCCAGGGTAAAAACCAGAAGAAAATGAACAGGATGTCCCTCTGGTCTGAAGACTGCAGATGTCACTGCTCATCAGCAGCCGAGTACGACCTTTCACGATAACGGCATTTATGGAAGATTGACTAACAGGAAAGTAAACACTCATGTTTACACCACCTGAATCAAATTTGAAGTATAATTGTTAGAAAAAAGTCCAAATAACATTCCTAGAATATGCACAACGGCATTAATCTTCCGACATACAAATATCATATACTGTTGTATCACTAAATTGTTTAGAGAACCAGTGAATGGACATGTAAGTCCTTAATCCCTTGATGTTGATGATGTGCATAAAATTCAAATCATTTGGATATGAACTACCTAAATATGATTTGAGGCTGGTGTACAATATGGTTCTAAAAACACAACAACAACAACAAAAATGTAACATTGCAGTAAGTACCAATTCATCAAAGCTGAGAACACCAGATCAATACAATAGATGCTATAATCCAAATAACAACCAAACTTGACTTCGGGAAGGCTTAAACTTGAAATGTTCAAAATTTAAGAATTTTCTAACCCAATGAATAGGTAGTGATTTGGGACGGCCATATATAGATGTGATTCTGATCATAATTAACTCTACCACTTTTATTACCTCAATGGTTTAGACATTGGAGTGCTAACTAGGGACGGAAATAGGCCATACAGGCCTACATGGGCCTATAGTCTAGCCTATTTAAGATCAGGCTAATTTAATAAATAGGTTAGACTTAGGCTTTTTTAAAAACCTATTTAATTAAATATGTCATGTTTAGGCAATTAAAAAAGCCTATGAAACTTTATAGGCTGAACTATATATTCATATATATTAAAATTAGGTTAGATAGGTCAGCCTATATATGCATATATAGGCCGGCCTATAAGACTTCATAGGTAAAATAGACTATTTAAAAGCTTTAATGTGAAACAAGCTTTTAAATAGGCTTTCAGGTCCGGCAAAAAAAAACCTTTGATAGGCCATAGGCCAAGCACAAGCATTTTAAATTTAAATTTATCGTAGGTCCGACTCAGGCCTTCTAAGGTCTGACCTAACCTATTTCCACCCCTAGTGCTAGCCTTATAGGTCCACCATCATGTGTTACGAACCAGAAATGGAATATATGAATGTAATAATACACACAAGCAAACAGAGGGTAAGAGAGCTTTATTATACTGAATAGAAACGGAATCAGGTACAGAAAAGGGAATGTAACCCTAGATCTGACAAGAGCTATGCTCCTAATAGGAAGCTAGAGCCCCCTATACATACTAGTAAATCACTATAATCCAAGATAAGATCTTCTCTCTCTCTAATTCCTTATATTGTGGAAACGGAATGCAGCGTGCTCTCTCCATTCAAGCCACGTCATAATTCTTGTAACTAACTAGCCACTAATTCCCTTCTTACCCTTCCTTCTAGAATAAATTTTCCAAGTCTGGGGACCACTTGATTCATAGTAAATCAGCTGCTCACGTGGCAATTCTTTCTCAACTAGTTGGGTCCTATCATCACGCAACTGCACCGAAGAACTGCACAAGTGTATGAAGAATCTACATCATCAATTCACCAACAGTTCCCGAACAGATCAGTGTTGTCGTCTATGAGAACTTGAAGTTTGCACCATACCCCTTAGCCTCGGCTGAGAGACAACTATTCCAAGATGACCAAAATAGTCTAACATTGCTTGGTAATCAAGACTAAGAGTATTTTATATACAACTCAATCAACGAGACTGCTTTTCTAAAATACTAAGTCATGAGAATTCTCACAATAAAAACAAGCCATACCTCATACCTGCATTGCACGGACTTGATTTCGGCCATAACAGATAGGTAGGAAACACCTTCCTTATCCTAACTCCCTTCACATTTACCTCCACCCATACCTTCCCTTCACCATTTACTCACACTATTAACTCTCAAACCTTAATTAACATTAATCAAATGAAAAAATAAGACTAAATAGATGAACTAGAATCGACCCACATAACCTAGCATCATCAACAACAAAAAACCCAAAAAAAAGGACATTTCGGAGATTACAACATTGTACTGTAAAGATTTATTAACATTTTTCTGTCGTGAGTTAATGAACTAGAATTTGAAGAAAGTAATAATAGTTGAAATTGTGAATGATTCTTCTAGCTGTAATAATTTAGTTCTACATAGAAAAATTAAATAAATAAAAACGTGGGAGAGAACCAAACCTGTGGATTCGAGTGAAGGGGGGGAAGGGTAGAGGGAATTAAGGAGGGGAAGAGCAGTTGTAGGGAAAAGCAATAGTGTGGAGTTGAAGAAAAGAATAGTATATTAGATGGAAACGGAAGAAGATTGGGGAAGAAAGTTATAGGCGTGAACGAATTTTTCAAATAAATGTTTCAGAGAAGCTTCTACACTCTCCTGGTTCTTCAATTCCTATGAAATATTTACCTACTTTGGATTGGGTATGGGCCTACTCCAGTTGGCCAGATTCAGCTGTATTTAACTTGTCATTCCTTTTACCTTGTACTTTCTATTTTGAGCTATCATTATATTTTTTTTAAAATTAGTTTTTTTTTTAATTTATCCGTTATTATCAGAAATTTGTAATATTTATTGGAAATTTTTGAATATGAACTATCAAAAATTTTATTATAGTTGAAATATCACCTATAAAATGGAACATTTAAAATTTCTCATAATATTTTTAAGTTTATGTAAATTTTAGAAATTTTAGTATACCGAAAATTTTAAATATAATATTAAAAATTTAGTGTATACTAAAAATTCTGATATACCTATCAGAAATTTTATACGAAAATTTGTTTCAATTTTTTTATGGACGATTTTGGAATTATAAAACTATAGGAGGTGTCAGGTTTAAGTTGGGGGTGGCAAGTTAAATGCTAGCTTAACCATTAGTTTTAGAAGATTTTATCATTCCAAGCGGGTTATACCTGACACTCCATATATTTCAATGAGTATTACTCATGTTATTTTTGTCAAAATTTTATCAAAAGACCTGGACAAAAAATCTGATAAAACATATAAAAAATTCGATAAAAACCAAAAAAATCTGGTAGTATATCTGAAAAATCTAAAGTACCGAATATTAAAAAAAATGGTATGGTATGGCACAAACCAGATTTTTAAAAAGTGGTGGTTTTTAGCGAATTTTTTTATTAAAGGTGAAGAATCTGGTAGTGCACTAAGTACCTGTTTTTTCAAATCAATTTTCAATTACCAGATTTTTAGTATGTCGCCAAAAATCAGACAATGATAATTGAATAGTTGAGATTTTGTCGACGATTCTATGCAGATGTGATTATGTCGTGTAATACGACTTTATTGAGTTGAAGACCAGTGAAAATTTAAAAGTTATGTGGAGAACATTTCACCGTAGGCTAACTAAGGGGCGATCGAGTTTGATGCGACAATTTCTAGATATGTCAATGACATAATCAAGATATTGAAACCTCCATAATCTACTATAACAAATAATATTTTTCATGATGAAACTTTCACCTTGAACAATAGAAAACTGATGTATAAAGTCGAGATGCGCTATTTTTTATTATTAAAAATATATAAAAAAACCATAAATTTCCTTGGTTTTTCATAACATTGAGGTGAAAAAACAACTCAGTACAAGCTTTGATTACTAACCATCGCAGTTTATGATTTTATTTGTTTATAAGTGAAAATAAAATGATCTAACCCTTCGGTTTTCTATTTAACCAAGACATAAAATAATAAGATTTTACTATAAAGCCACTCGTTAAATACATTTTACCCTAATCTTTACTACTATGAAGTTGCCCAAAACTCGCAAGCTTCAATCTTTAGGATGGATTACAAGACAGAAAAAATCTTCATTGTTCTTATATCTTGAACAAAATATTTTTTTCTGCCCTTGCAATCTATCTCACATAATAGTGTTGATGTTTTTGTTGTATTTATGTAATAACATTTCTATGTTGTCAATCAATGAAAACATTAAAAAATTTATTGCTTTCCTAGGTTTACAACATTAGGAAACTTATTACTCAATACAATCATCCATTTCTCTTTCATGTTCTCTTTCATGTGAAAATATTTGCTCAATATAATATGGGATAGATTGCAAGTATAGAAACAAAATTTCTCTTGGTTGGAACAAATAACTTCTCAGAAATTTGAAAACAATGTAAATATAAAAAAAAAAAAATCTCTTGTTGGTGTCGCTACACGAAAAATGCACAGATTCGCCGCCGATTTTTTTTATTCCGAAGAAAGAGAAAATATCAATAAAATCCCCTAAAAGGTGAAGAAAACGGTCTCGCAACCAAATTCGAGTTCGAAAGCCAGTTATGCGAGGGGAAGGTATTAGCACATCTCATATCCGTTATACTCAACAGAAACCATCTAGGTCGTCTAAGCGCGAATGAGTGTTCTAATCTAAAAGGTCGACTTGCTATCAGGGAAAATGATGGGTTTTTTTATTATGAAATGAGGAATATGAGCTATGTAGTTCGGAGTAGAAAATGAATATGTGTTGGTTGATTTTATACATTGAAAAAGGTTTTTCAGGAATGATGTCCTAAGGCGCAAAAAAGAGAGTTTGATGAGTTGATGTTGATTTTAGGGTTTTGAAAAGAAATTATTCTTGATTAGGGTTGCACTAAAGACTATGGGTTGAGGTGAATATTCCAAACTACCAAACCAAGCGTCTTGTATCCAAAATACTCAGAGTGATGGCAGGAAAGCTCCATTCTCACTCATTCTCCACCACTTAAGACTTGTGGCGCACAATCCTAATCGTATTTATTGTGTTTTTTTGAATTTATTGAGAAAATGCCGTTTGACGTTAGATCAAGGGTTTTATTAGGAAAATACCACTTGGCGTTGGGTCAAGGGTTTGAGAAAATGGTGAGGTCGATCCTAGTACTTAAGGATAGCTAGAAAGCGAAATCAAACCAAAGAAAAGCGAGAAATAAAGAAAGTACATCAAAAAGGGAGTGAGTTACATAAAAAATATAAGGGAAATATGCAAGAAATAAAAGGTCTCGTTGTAAGTTAGTCCAAGAGAAATATATGTGTGTGTGTGTGTGTGTAAAGTGTCATAAGCTATGTAAGGAAATCAGAGGTTACATGTCTCTC